CACGGGGGGGGGGGGGGGGTGATAATATCATGAAGAGAAAGCCTTTTATATTTGAGATTTGTGGATGTTTTAAGTAACAAGATCTTAATTGGATAGTTATGGGGGTGTTTAAAACAGGCAGACACTCCCCTGCTCAGCTTACGTCTGAGTCTGTGTGCGAGCTGAGCGTGGCCGCTGCAGGAATGGGGCTGGGGGGCCTCGCTGGGATCAGACGCAGAGACGGGCCGGGGGCCGGGGACCCGGCAGCTGGGTGTCTGCTTCCGCTCACGCCCGGTGCCTGCTCCCCACCCCACCCTGAGATTGGGTGGGGGGTGCGTCTGGCGATTTTGCCGTGTGCTGTGTGTGTTCGTGTGTTTGCTGGGTCCCGGGGCGGTTTGAAGGCGGCCGTTAGGAATTAACAAATCTGTTCTGAGTGCGTTTCCGTTGCAGCAGCATTGCTGACCTCGGGCGAGTGTGGAATTCCCGTGGTGAGACGTGGCTTCTCGCATCACACAGAATCGGGGCCACCCTGAAGAACGGGCGTGCGGCCCCCCGAGCTGCTGTGGGAGGGCGTGCGGCCCCCCGAGCTGCTGTGGGAGGGCGCGCCGTGGGAGGGCGCGCCGTTCCCTCCGCTCAGCAGGGCCAGGCCCCGGCGGGGTCTGTGTCTCTTGGTGAGAAGTTTCCTTCAAAAAGCAAAACTGGGCATCGCACGCCCCCCCGAGAACTGAGGGGGCTTTACAGGCACAGATTCGCCGGTTCTTTTACTAGTTCATGGAACGTGCAGAACCTGAACGCAGGCTCAGAGCCACGAGCACAGAGCATGTGTCGATGACGCGGCTCAGGTCCTGGGAGCGCGTAACCTGGCCTTCCCTCTGCAGATGGTGTGGGAGAGCGGCTGTGTGGTCCTCGTCATGCTGACCCCGCTGGCGGAGAACGGCGTCCGGCAGTGCTACCACTACTGGCCCGACGAGGGCTCCAACCTCTACCACATCTACGAGGTACCGGCCACCGTTCCCCTGAGGCCGCACCTGCAGCCAGGTCCCCACAGGGGCCAGTCCCGGGGCCAGGTGTCCCCTGGGCCCCGTGGTCAGTGACACTCAGGCCTCCAACAGGCTGCGCCCTGGGACTCAGACCCTGGGACTGGGACTGGGACTGGGACTCGGACCTGGGACTGGGCCTGGGGCTGGGGCTGGGGCTGGG